CATTGAAGGCTACCGTGTACACAGAATGTGGGCGCCTCCAGCCTCGCTGTGTGCTCATGCTGTCCGCATGTTCCCTGCATTCCAATTGGCAACAATTGACGTGTGCTGTATTACATACGCTGTGAAGCTCTGTGGACTTCGAGGTGCTCTCTCTCGACAACAGGATTAGTGGTCCCGCACTTCTGAAGTTCAGATGTCACGGCGGACAGCCCATTGGAACAGAAGTCTCCTGAAACTACAGTTCATATATATTGATGTATACAAGAATTTAGTGCTATTTTTTCTGAGTAGGACGCAACCAGAAAGAGTATTTTTGGTCGAGTTCCACGTCTTTTACAGATTTTTGAAGTTGCAAGGCGGGGCGGAATGAGCGTAACATGTCACGTGACAACTATTATGCAAACGGTAATAACAGTGTAAGCGCCGGAAATAGGCGCGTAAATCTTGCTCAAAATATTGGCCACCCCGAAAACTCGCGGGAAAAACTTCGGAGTTGTGTTTTTAGACGTTTTCGGCCACTCTGAACATGATTCTGAAGTCAGAATCACCAGAAAAAAATCTGCTCGAGTGCTAGCTGACTTGTCGACTTTGGCTGTCCGACACTGTAGTCTGCCCCAATTCACACTCAAGGACTCGTGCAGGCTCTTCGACTTGAAGCTCCTCCGCGTGTCCGACTTCCGGCTACTCTCTCGTCGCCTCATTCTGTCATGGTGATCAGTACAGGTGCGAATTTGTGCAGCCTTGTACTATAAGAGGCTAGCTAGCAGGTGCGCTGAATTGCAAGCTAAGACGCCGACATGATGATACTTCCGAAGGGTGGCCCATGCCATCCTGAGCTCTCTGCGCGCTCCTGCTCGTGACCAGATCCTTCCGATGGGCAATAATGATTAGCATATGGCATACTGACTATGAGCCTACCAGCTGTTGGAACAAGCACTAGTTCTGGGGATGCAGGGAGCCCACGTCACAAATGCGCGGGGTGCTCAATCCGGGCGGCTTGATGTACATATACAACAATGCGATCTAATCTTAAGATAATCTATCGGAGCGCCGGCGCACGAGTGCACCGGCTTGCTCGACAACCCAGCCCGCCCTGTTTGCTCCAACATACCCCCTCAAGCCATGCGCGAGTGCATACCCCCTCAATCACCAAGCCTTATTCTTGTCGTCTTCATCCTCTGTGAGGTCCTCGAAGTATCCTGCCAGCATGGCCATGTTCGCACTGCCGTGACCATCTTGTGCCTTGTTTGCCATCAATTCCTCCCAGGCAGCCTTCTGCAGACACTCTGACTTGAAGTGACCAACCTTGTCACAGAAGTACATCAGCATATCGGTGCAGGATTTTATAGTAACCAATAGTGGTATATAGATGAGGTAGTATGCTACAGATCAGGTTGTATACGATGAACTTATGCCGGGGACCCATGGACTCTACTAGACCACCATGGCTTGATATGCGACTATGTATTCTCCCACCGGACCGCCTGTAGACTACTGCAGATTCACCTGTTGGCATCTGTAGAGCTTTATCGTAGGCCACGTGGGGCTATGTCGAACAATAACACCATGCAAAGTCCTGTATACCATTATGTGACGTCTGACAACAGTGTCTTCGTCTCATGCTCTGCATACTGCATTCTGGGTTGCTTCTGGCTTTTGACACGTGTGATCGAATATGCGAGTAACATTTCATTTAGTAGGCTAGACTCAGATTTGAGGTCATGTATACCGTAACAGCCTGCCGTGGATTATTGGGACGATGCTACAATGTGATACCTTGTTGAACCACAACACGAGCCCCATCATGCAATGGTGCATGCAGCCTCAGGTCACTGATTTACGCACCAAGCTGTCAGTACTCGGAAGACGAGTGAAGGCTGGTGAATGAACCTTACATAAGCATAGCTGTCGCAATGCGCTGGCGTGGCAGGTCCTGCGCACCGACTTATCCACTTGCGAAGGCCTTGGTGAGGTACTCAGATCTCATAAGACTGGATGGATACACTCGTCGTTGCGCGCATAGAAGCACTTACAGTATTGTCAATGAGCAATCCACCTTTTGAGGACCAGATCAGTGCCGTGTTGGCACGCTTACCTGAGACCTCAGAGGGGTCGTACCTCTTCTGACTTGTAAGATTGTTGTGGTAGTACTTGAACATCCTGCAGAGCGCAGTATGAAGATGAGATGGGGAGCTGTCTGATGAGCGGCAGTCGAGACTCGACGCGTCTGGCTCTTATACAAAGGACAAGTGGAGCAGTAAAGGAAGCCGGCACGGAGTTGAAAGATGTGACAGCTTCTCAACTGAACCCTTGAAAGACATCCACTTTGGGACATCACCTGTGCATGAATGAGAACAAGTCCACCACACCATTATGCGGCCATGGCTTTGGGTCCGAGTTGTGGACACCGTGTAGCACTCATCAATGCAGCACTCGTAACTTACACGGAGTGAAGTGGTCTGACCGCGCGGTACTGTGGTAGAGCACTGTATCAACTACTCATGTATGATGATTCCTTATAGACACCAACAATTTTTATTGTCGTCCGACGACAGATCGACAGTATAGGGAGCATGTGACAAAGCACGGTAGTGCACTACAGACGGTCCACAACATGTCGTCGCAGGCGACCAGCGCCTATCGAGCGCTGTCACCCTCGTCGTATTCTACAGGCACTTACATGCAAATGTTCAGTTTGGTGATGTAGCACTGGACTTGCGTGCGATCGAACTTTGGCTTCACGGTAAAGACCAGGGCAGGTGCCACCACTCCAGGGTCATGGGTAGAGGTAGAGCTCGAGGTAGTAGAGGATAAACCAGTCTGCCAAACTTCCTCGTTCAGGAGTCGCTGAATAACTTCTTTGAGCATGAGCTGCTCTATCGGGATGGAGTCGAGTGTGATGATGACCACATCGTACGCAGACGAGAGGCCCATGGTGACAGTGAGGATCTTGTCTTACTCAGTGACCTCCATCTGGAACGCCATGCTGCGGATCTCCCCTATCCATGCCTGCATTGACTGCTTTGCCTTCTTCTTTGACGTCAGGGACTTCCTTTTCATCGCCAGCTGGGTTGCAAACCTGCACGTCTTGTGCACCTCTGCCAGTGTCTCCCAGATCCCCATTGGGTCACGAGAACGCATATGGGGTAACTGACCACCATCAACCTGCATGATCATCTCTGCCCTCACCTCGTTCATCTTCTGCACTGACCGTTTCTTCTTCTTCTTCGCATACTCCTCATGCCACTGCACCAGATCCTGCACCTCGCTATCAAGTGTGATCTCAACAATCCCATCCCACAGCTTGCGGCGGATAAGATCAGCTTCCATGCGCATCGCCCACTCGACGTAGTTGGTGTTGTTGAGTTTTGGGAAGTGAAGGTGATTGGACAGAGAGTCATACATGGTTTTAATGGAGAGAGGGGGGGTTATTTAAGTTCTTCTAGTTCTTCTGATAGCACCCAGACAGGAACAGCACAAAGCAGAGGGAAGCAGAGGGCTGTACAGCACGTTGTGTTGGAACAAGCACTAGTTCCAGGGATGCAGGGAGCCCACATCGCAAACATGTGGGGTGCTCAATCCAGGTGGCTCAATGTACATATACAAAAATGCGATCTAATCTTAAGATAATCTGTCTGAGCGCTGGCGCACGAGTGCACCGGCTTGCTCAACGACCCAGCCCGCCCTGTTTGCTTCAACACCAGCCAACTCAGGAGAATCATTACATATGGGCAGGCACCTCCCGTGATTGTCTGGCGCACTCCCTACAAAGTGACAGGTACCAGCTCTATGCTTACATTAGTCAGAACTGTTCCCCCTCTCCACGAAATGACGTCACCTACTATGAGCCACTAGAGGCAAGACATCAAAATTTGAAGTCGCTGATGTTCTCCTTCTCTGGAGATTAATCATTGGTCTGTGGGCGAGGATCGTCCCATAAACTACGAGGAAGTTGGCGCGATGAGTAAGAAAGCAGATAGAAGAAAGCAAGAGGGACATCACAACTTGATCTCGCCAATTTTCTTCAAGTATCTTTCTAACTGAACGTGGGTGCCCTTCTTGTCATGACGCACAATGCGGAAGGGTAACCACTCTATAATCCAGTTGTACTGTAGCAAGAGGCAGACATAATCCAGTGAGGGGGAGAGCTGCTGGGCAAGAATGCACATGATGTTCTCCAGTCACTCTATTTGTTCCACATGGGAGACACTGACAGACCGGTCCCTAGGCATCCATCCTCTAAGCGGGTGTGGAGTGTCGACCAAGTCAAGATGTATGCGCAAAATGCATAGACGTGGGAGCGCAGAGACCAGAGGCAATGTAGTCCTGGAAGCGAGAGGCTCAGCATTTGTTCTACTATCACGAACACGTTAAGAAGTGTGCATACCAACAGGACTTCTGGATCGTCCAGTTTCCGGTATCAGTATATTGTCAGCCGCTTGAGCGTAGGAAACAGCATTGGAATGCATCAGAAGAGACTGGAGTCGCTCACGTCCTCTTGAAACTCAATCTGCAGCTCCTTTAGCAGCCACATGTGGCAGCTTGTGAGGAGACTGTCCAACTCGGATGCAGACAGGATAGGCGAGTCTCAGCCGATGTGTTTAAGCAGTTTGAGCTCATGCCAATACTGGTGGATGTAATGGTGCAGCCAGCAATGAAGGGTGAGGCTCCGCAGAGTCCACAGAAGGGGTGCATACACCCAATCTGTAGGATCAGGGTGGGCTACAGCAAGGTGTGTCAGCTGCTTGCATGGGAATGGAGTGTTCCAGGAAGGTGGGGATAGTCTATGGCAACCATTGCCACATCAGTGCGCTTGATCGAACGTCAGTGATCATAGATTAGGCATGCCTGATATGAGCTTGACGATGGGAGTACCAGCATCTTCAACCTGCCAGTCAACTTGGTCTCCGCAAAGTGACAATGTCTGAAGATGGAGCCAGTATGATTGAGCCATCATAGAGAGAGGCACTGATGAGACCAGAGAGTGGCTGACAAAGCAATGGCACAAGCAGGATTTGAACCTGCGGCCTCTAGGCGCTATGGTGCTCTAGACCACTGAGCTATTGTGCTGTTGTCAACTCTAGCTATAACCCCCAAGGGATTCTAATTTGCTAGATGTCCGAAGGTTCAACCTGATGCAACTCAACTCAACGCAGTACACAACACAGTTGGTTGAACCCCCATCAGTGCAACGTCGAGCGGAATTTGGAGGAGCTTGAGTGAGGATGGAAGCTGGCTCAAAAGGAAGCCAATTAGGGATACGTCGCCTATCAGAGCCCTGCCTCTGGAATCTCGACAGTTGATGATGGTGTATATGAAGGATGCAAGTGAAGATACTGTGAAGTGGCTCTCCTTTGGGAGGGGAGTCCCACGGTTAGGGCTGATGGTGAGGTCAAAATGGCGTAGCCATGGCAGTAACAACATGGCCTTGATCGCCTGCCATGCGACCTCATGTTCTGGCAGCCACAATCCGTCAAAGGTAATATGACTGGAATGGATTAGTGGTTAGGATGATGCACACTACGGATTACTCGGGTGTTGATAGGGAGTCCGTGGCGCTGAGTGGGTACAATGCACACTCACATCGAGTCGTGTCAGCCTGTGCAGTTGCTCGGACTCCGGCATGCATTCCTTCTTGTTACCGTAGCCTTTTCCTGTAGATTTTTGTTGCATCATATTTGTTGTTACTCACTTGCTCCACCATTGACCTCAGGACCTTGTGCATCGCCGAACCTTGGCAGCGCGAATACAACTCTTATGGCAATCCTGCCCCACCGCACATCATGTGACCACACTGACCGTCTTGCCGCCTCCTCTACCATACTCCCATTGTTTTACATTTTAGTTCCTCTATTTTCCTTAATCGTCTCTGGCCCTCCAGCCTCCGGTAGATAGCATAAAAACTTGTACTTCAAACTCGAACAAAGCAGCTTGTTTCTCCCTCCAAAGCCCCTGCCTGACTTCCCTTTCCAAGTCTTGCACCTTGTGCCCAAGCTCACCTTTCATCGCCTTCGTTGTCGCCATCACCGTCTCTGCCGTTGCACTGGTAGTGCCTTTCGTATCGTACATTGTCACTCGTGGCCATCTTACGCAGTCTCTTACACACCGAGCGGGTCTGTGTCTCACCTAGTTCTATTCTGATCCTATCTATTCTACTTTATCCTCCTCTGCGCTCCCCGATGACTCCTCGCTATCACGTCCACTCTCAGACCCGATGATAGATATCCAAACTCTCAGGTCAGAGAGTGGATGGTGTGGTGAGAGGTCATCGGGAATCACAGAGGAGGAGGGATAGGGTAGGTAGACTAGACCCAATAATAGACCTAGTGAACAGGCACAACTCACGCAAGGCGCGAGAGACTGAGTGAGACGAGGGCGGACGATGACATACAATACGATAGGTGCTACGAGCGTGATGGCAGAGACGACGGAAGCAACGGTGAAGGCAAAGACGACGAAGGTGAGCTTGAGCGTGGGGTGCGAGACTTGAGGAGCGAAGTCAGATGGCGGCTTTCGAGGAGAAAACAAGCTGTGTTGCATGAGGACCGAGTACAGCCTTTTATGCTAGCTACCGGAGGCTACAGAGCCAGTCGTGATTGAAGAAAATACACGAAAGAGAATATAAAAGTGTCGGGAGTTCAGTAGACGAGGCGGTGAGAAGGTCAGCGCGATGCGTCTGAGCGCAGTCATGTGATCCCCGACGAGGTGAGATTACCCAAAGTGTTGCATCCGCGCCGCCAAGCGTCGGCAGCGTGCAAGTCCCTATGATCGAAGGTGGAGTAAGTGAGTAAGAACAAATAGGATGCAATGAAAATCTACGAGGCAACTCTACGGTAACGAGAAGGAACACGTGCCGGAGTCCGAGCCACCGTGCAGGCCGACACAACTTGATGTGAGTGCGCGTCGTACCCGCTCAGCGCCGCGGACTCCCCATCACCGAGGGTTTGGATATCTATTAGCGTACCACACAAAGCACCAGAACTTCACCAATGAGACATTGGAGAATTCCCCTGTCATCACAGTCCCATTCAGGCAGAATATGATGCTCCGGAAGATGCATGGCGGGCAGGCGTTTCTAAGCCACCTGTAAGTCCTGAAGAGTCTCTTCAAATGTCCACCAGGATGTAAAAACTCGAAGACATGCGCAAGAACATCGTCGTTTAAGAGGCAGAGAAGACATCTGAACGGATGATTCCTACGATGTGGACACTGCAGAAGACATAAAGCTTACGGTGGGTGAATAGTGACAGGTGCTGTGAGCGGGACCTGTGAGTCCATGGGCCGATACAATTTTCTATGTGCTGGTACGTGCCCTTGGTCAGTTGTGGCACCGCGAACGCTCACATCCAGCTCGTGTAAGATCTCTGAGTCGGCATGGGTGGCAATCTGTATGGTGCACTGCGTGCGGCTGCAGATACTGGTCTGAAGAGTCCACATCTGTGCTTGGGATGACAGTGCCAGCAGCAGAGCCTGGATAAGTACGAGTGAGTGGGAGCGACAGCTGAGCGCAGCTAAACACTATAGTCACGACAGTTGTTGTGGGCAAGTGACTCAGGAGCATGGTCACAGGTCACAGCTGCAGTATGCCGGACGGGGTGCGGGATTGCTGGATTTGCAACTGAGTCTTCCGCAGTATCACCACGAACAACGTGGCGGTATCATACACTACCAAAGTACTGTTTCCAAGGCTGGCCTCCTCTACGTTCAATATAACAGTCCGAGAACACTTTCCATCTTTCTGGGGTGTCAATCCAGAATGCTTATGTGTAACGTCTGGAGCTGTGTATGTCCACCGAAGGGGCATTAGATTGGCTGCCCACATGACTCGGAGTGCTTTACGCATGCACCTCTCACTTCTCGATTGCGAGTGCTCCCCACAGGGATCATAATCAAATGGCTGGCCTGGGGTGCCACATATGCAGCCATGCAGATTCTTAGATGATGACAAGGCTTCTGCACTCACTTAGACGATTCTGTGCTCTGCGATCATTGGGTCAGAGTCTCGGCAACTTCCAACTAGTACTTCATCTGGGCTGCCCTTTCACTGTTGGTGATGATAATCCGCACTGGTCTTTCATCATTTCTGGATTGTATAATCGTTAATAGGGGGAGCCCGCGTTGCTGAGCGGGTACAGTGACTGATGGGCAGCGAATACAACGTGTTGCATTAGGTAGTCAGGTGGTGGTAGTAGCCATGTGATCGCGTACTCTTGTGTCACGAACAGCATACCGCCGTGTCAGTACATTGTACAGAGGGTCCTCTAAGTACGTAGGACTGGGTAGTGCTACTAGTCGTGTCACCAGCCATTATAGAGGTCCTTCCAAAACAGGGCAGTATAGAGAACGAAACAGAGGACCACCTGCACTGAAACAAGCGGCAGCACTGGCAGGAATTCGCATATGTAGATGCTGTTCACATGCACGAGTCCCTCACTCAGGGCTACAGCTGTCTGACCTCTTACACATACTCCTCCTTCCACATCCTCAAAGAATTTTGCAATCTCGCAATGTCGGAACCCATGTCGCCCTCCTCCAAAGGACGATTTCTGCCTCCCGTTCACCCGGTCAAACTGTTACATCCCATGCACCCACCTTCTTCTCCGGTTTAACTCCGCATTTTCCAATCTTAACTCCACCCATTAACTCCGCATTTTTTGGACCTGACTCCGGACTTATTTCCTCATTCTGACTTCACTACATTCTCTCCATACTTGTACTCCGCTTTTCCGGAGTTTTACTCCGCATTTTCGGACTACAACTCACTTTTCCAGACTACAACTCCGCATTTTCTCTGAAGTTCAGTCTTATGTCTCTGATTGTGCCATTCCTTCAAAATAGGCTTATTGTCTTCATCCTGGAACCCCTCTTCCATCCTTCTCCTTATTGTTTGCATTCACAATAAGGCTTACTTCTATATATACCAAGCTGGTATGTCGTGGCTACTCAGTTCAGATACTTGTTGCACTTCTTGTCATTGCCGTGATCCTGCAATCAACTTGTGTCTTGTCCTCAATTTTGCTCCTTGTCTCCAAGTCCGCTCCAACTTTGGATGTACTCCGCTCCAACTCCGGACATACTCCACCTCCATCCTCTAGTCCAAAATCGAGGAGAGCCCAGAAGGTTCTCAGGCACGTTGCTAATAGCTTCGCGAAAGTCCTCACCCTTGCTGTGCCTCCGTCCGGACGTTCTCAACTCTGAAGTCCGCATTTTTGAAGTCCGCACCCCCAACTCCGGACTTAACGCCAGCATGTCCCTAACACAAACTGTCCATGCCACATCATCCACTGTGGGTACATGTTCAGCCTGCATTCCTGCTGCAGAGGCGGCTTCCGCAAGGCAGTGTGTGTGCGACCCAGTGCAGGAGCCTGCTCTCGCGTGCTCCTGGCCATCAGTGAAAGCCGAGCTTGACACGCCTCATGATGGCCATGGATGACTTGAGTTTCAGATTTGGAGATGCTGGTTGCAGGGGAATCGGAGTGGAATTCTACGAGCATCTCATGGACGGACTAGGAGGGCATTGAGGAGGAAGAAGAGCCTGCATACAGTCGAGGGATGAGCCTTGGATGAGTCTAACATAGTACATGCAGCACACAGTCAGCACAAGCGCACATTTGGAAGACTCACACTCTGACTATGTCTGGTTCAGCTCGCTATATACTCCTGGATCAAAGTCTAAAACTCGAAGTATCTGATGTTGCCTGGGTATGGGATCTGGTCCTTGGTACAGGGACCAAGATCGTCCATCAAGCTAGGAAAACACTTGCAATGAGCGGGAGAAGCGGACGGCAACATAACACTTGAGACAGGCGACTAACCTCATCTTGCCGAGGCTCGTCACGTCCTTCTCCCTGACAACCTGCACGGAGCCTTGTTTGCCGCAGACGACCCAGAAGGGGAGCCATTCGTTTTCCCAGTTGCGGCAGAACAAGAGGCAGATGAACTCCACGGAAGGCGCAACGTGCTGTGCAATCACATGCGCAGCGTCTTGCAAATGCTCCTCATGAGCCTTGAACACAGCGAAAGGGTCACGGTGGGCCATCCACTTTGTCAATGGGTGTGGGGTACCATCA